GGTCTGTGAATTGAGGTTCCTTTAAACTTGGAGATACATTTATTTAAATTTTAAAAGAACAACATGGACTTTCATTGCTAATCATGACACCATAGCTAGTATTGAACTCTAAACCATTATTGTTGTTGTTTTTAGGTGCTGTTGAGCTAGTTCCAATCCATAATGACCCTGTATAGGAAGGGTTTCCAAGGAGCAGCTGGTGAGCTTGAACTGCCGACCCACAGTACCACACCAGGACTCCAAACCATTATAAACATGGACAAACAATATGAAGCAACTGTTTTCAGGAATTCAATAACCAGTAGCACAAGAGTTAGATTATTGACAGTGGACCTGAGGACTCAAGACCTTACAGTCTCGGAGGACATCAAGGTCCATTGTAACATAGTCAACAAAGACAATGCTTTATATCTTAATTTGGTGCTAGTGAGCAGCCATCTTATCCAAAGGAAAGAATAAGGAGAGACCATTAGTGAAGAAAACTGATGCATAGAAACAATTAGTTCAATGGACTAATGGACGACTGGAACATCAGCATCCTTGACCCTGAGACCAGAAGAACTAGGTGGTACCCAGCTACCAATACCAACTATTCTGAAAGGAATCATGTTAGGGGATCTGGATAGAGTGGGGAAAAATATGGAACAAAACTCAAAATCATAAAAAATACTAGGCTAACTGGTTGAATAAGACTGGTGGAACCCTGAGACTATGGTCCTCAGTCCTTCTTCAGGTCTGGAATTGAACTCACCCCTATGGCTCCATTTTCAGTCAAACATATAGACAAGTCTATAAGGGGAAACCCTACATAGGGCCACTATGGGTCAGAACTGAATTGATGGCACTTAGCAACAACAACAACAGCAACAAGCAAAGGGAACAATAACATTAGAAAGGTACACACACCTTAGAATAAACAACCATTTGAGATCAAAAGGGCAGCATCTACCCAAGTACAAAAATCAGAATGATTAGGATAGAAAGAGAAATGGAAACAGGAAATACAGGGAGGAAGTGGGATGAGTGATGTTACATTGTGGTGACTGCAATCAATTACTTGAAAACTGTATATGAATTGTTGAATGGAAAACTGTAAACCTTCCCCCAATTCATAATAAAGTTGTTTTGTTTTTTTAAAGTCAGATTCCTGAAAAAGTGAACTACATGAGATGCACTTCAAATTTTCCCAGGCTTTCTGCCTAGGGGCAGTTTTCTGATCATGACACAAGGTGGCAGAGCCCAAGCGAAGAGCACCAGTCTCACTGAGTGGAGGAGGCAGAAATCATCACAATTTAGGCTTCTGTAGTGGCTAGAAATTAAAAGACAGAATACTGGAGAAGGTGGAATTTTGTGGAACCAGAAACTTACATTGTGATTCCCTTGGGTCTTTGGCGAAAGCCTGTGCATGGGGAGACTCCATGGAGCCTAACAGAGTACCTGCTACAGGGTTGAGATCTAACATGTGAAATAAGAGATCATCCGTGTTCAGAGACAGTGGATCTCTGACCCAGCCATAATAGAGAATCTTCATTGAGCATCTAAGGCATTCAAATTATATGTACAAAGTCCATTCTCTTAAAGCAGGGACCATACCCTAAAGAAATGGCCATGTCTAACACCAAAAACAATACCCCAATTGATCTGCCCTAACAAAGGAACTCTGGTAGCGTAATGGTTACGAATAGGTATGCTTATCTCACAGTCAGCAGTTCGAAATTACCAGCTGTTCCGCGGGAGAAAGAGGAGGCTTTCTGCTCCCGTAAAGATTTACAGCCTCAGAAACCCTGTACAGGGTCACTATGAGTCAGAACCGACTCCACGGCACATAACAACAACAACAAAGCATAAAACCAAGCCCCAAAGGATCTGTCAGTAATTTAATTGCCTGTCAGGACAAAACTCAACATACTTTAAGGACAACAATATCCACATTTCCTTAATGTATCATTTATATGATACATTAAAAAAATTAAATTACTAGATATGCAAGTATATGATCTATAGTTTAAAAACAAACTAACAAAAAATAGTAAGCAAAAACAGATTTGGCTATCTATCTACCTGTTAAAATTAGTGGACAAAGACTTATAAGTAACTATTATGTATATCCATATATAGGACTCCTGGTGTGGTGCTGTAGGATCAACACTGGACTGCACACCACAAAATTGGCAGTTCAAACTCACCAGCTGGTCCTTGGAAACCCTATATCGGGTCCCTATGAGTTGAACTGACTCCATGGCACTTCACAACAACATATACGTATGTACGTATTCAAACATTGAAAAGCGAGGAAAGAAAGTCAAAAGAGTAAATGAATGGGGATACCTAGCTGAAAAATGAAAGAAAAAAAAAAAAGACAAGGACCACTGGACATTTTAGAAGAGAAAAACACAATATATAAGGAACTTCAAAAAGTCTGTGGAATAACAGAATTTTTCTGTGAACTTTTGAAGGCCCATTTATTGCTGTTGCTAAATGCTGTCAAGTGGATTCTGACTTATAGCAATCCTATATAGGGTTTCTGAGGAATAGCTGGTGGGTCTGAACTGCTGACCTTGAAGTTCAAATGCACCTTGAAGTCCAGCACCTATTCTACAGTGCCATACCTAGTATATCTGAAATAAAACAAACATTGGATGGGTGTGACAGCAGAAAAAGACATCAATGAACATGAAGACAGTTCAAAAGACATTAAACAAGCTGAAGGAAAAAAGTTACTGCAAAAAAAAAAAAAGTTGGACAGAACTTCAGTGTTTTATAGGGCAATATCAAGCAATCTAAAATAAATGCAACTTGAGTTTCAGAAGGTGACAAGAAAGAATGAAGAGAAAATTTGTGTGTGTGTGAGGAATGTGTCCAAGCAGGATAAATAAAAAAGAAAACCATATCAAAGCACACCTTAAACACAGATGAAAATTCAAGATAAAGAGAAAATCTTAAAAGCAGTTAGAGAAGAAAAAATATACACAGATATGAAGGGACTTCAAAACTTGGTGGGAAAATTCCAGTATCTTTGAATTCCATTTTCACAAATTTTTTGAAGCCCCCTCATATAAGAGAACAACAAAAAGAATGACGGTTGAGTTTTCATCACAAATAATGGAGGCCAGAAAATGGTTAAATATCTTCAAGGTGCTAAAAGAAAAAAATGGTTAAACTAAATTTCTATACCAGCAAAAACAAAACAAAAAAACCCCTCCAAAATTAGGGCAAAATAAAGATGCTTTCGGATAAATAAAAGGTGAAAAAAATTCATTAATAGAAGACCTGCACTTCAAGAAATACTAAAAAAAAAAGTTCTTCAGATTGAAGAGAAATGACAATCAAAATAGAAGAAAAGAAATAAAGAGTATGAGAAGTGGTATTGTTGTTGTTAAGTGCCGTTGAGTCGTATATATGTGGAAAATAAAGACTATCATTTTTTCCCTATATTTTCAAGACTTTTTAGAGGGGATAGAAAAAAAAAGTATTAAGGATTTTAACATACAAGAATACTTCAGAAGTTTGTGGGGAGTGGAATTAAAAGATAAAAGAATTCTTCCATGAACTTTTTTTTTTTGCTCTTCCATGAACTTTTTGAAGTCCCCTATGATAGTTAATAGGAACTCTGGCAGTGTAGTGGTTACGAATCGGGCTGCAAACCTCAAGGTCAGAAGTTCAAAACTACCAGCAGCTCCGCAGGAGAAAGGTGAGGCTTTCTGTTCCTGTAAAGATTTACAGCCTCAGAAACCCTGTTCAGGGTTGCTATGGGTTGGATCCGACTCGATGGCACTTAACAACAACAACATGATAGTTAATAGCAAGGTTGGTGGTTCAAACTTACCAACTGCTCCTCGGAAACCCTATACAGGGTTGCTAAGAGTCACTGGTTTTGCTTCTCTACAGAATCCAGCCCAAGACACCCCATGGATTGCTGGTCTTACCCCAGAATTTCTAGTTCAGTAGGTCTACAGTAGGATCTAAAAATTTGCATTTCTAACAAATTCCAGGGTAATGCTGACACTGCTGGTCCGAGAGTCTCTGGATTACTTCATCACTTTATAAGTAAATCATACTCACTCTAACACCACAGATCTACATTGATGTTATTGTTCTTGTCCTTATTTTTACTTTAGGAGAATAAACTAAATGGGAAACCTGTAAGAATACAGACATGAAAAAATCTGAAATTATAACAAAACTATACAAATGGAAGTACTAATAGTTCATTGACTTGGACCTCTCAAATAGCAGTTTCAGTCATGTACACTAGCTATACACACAAAAGCAATCATTGAGACTGAGAAAGAATCAAACAGCCAAGAGGAAGCAAAGATGTATACTGTTACTTCTGACTTTTCTGCCACAATATGTTAGGGTGGGGCCGGGCAGGAGACCAATAAAAATCAAGAAACAAATTTTAAGAAAAACCAAAGCACTAAATGGGATTAGGAAAGCAGCAATGACAGACTTGAAGTGAAAATGAACAATAAGTTGACTCACTGAAGAAAGATACACAGCAAAAACAAGTAGCATTAAAGAACGAAACAAATTGTGATTAAACTGTTTTAAAATGTGGGGCAATTCACAGAAAGGTCAAGTTACACTCTAAAACTGTAAACAACTTCTGTAAAGACATTACAATACCAACTTAAAGACACTAATAATATCACAGCTATCTGTGAACATTAAATATTAAAGAAATGATCCATTTATATTGTTAGCAAACATAAAATGACTAATGTAGTACAATGGTCATAAACAATAACCCGCAGTCATCAAGAATAAGTTCAAATATGGTTGACTCTTTCTGTTAACAAGGAAAAAGAGCAATGCTAAACATTCAAGAAAAAGATTTCATAAAAATTGTATCCAAAACAGATATGGCAATTAATGGGTAATTAATTAGAAATACCAATTATCCAGATACTTGTGGGTTTTGTCAGTGCTACTAAAAAATGAGAATCAAGGCCACCTGAAAAATCATATGATCCCTTCGGCTAATAACTTTTACTTACAAGTGGGAAGATCTTCAGCTTTCGCAAGGTCATTCTCCTCTATTCCAGGCATCCCTGCATCACTGCCTCGCTTGATTTGTTCTGTGCAAGCAACAAAAATACATAATTCTATGTTTTTAATTGGAGTCCAGGTGTGGCACTGCAGAATAAGCTGGTTGGTTTGAACTGCAGGGATGGCGGCATCAGCTGCTCCTCGGAAACCCAATACAGGGTCGCTATGAATCAGAACCGACTTGATGGCACTTACAACAACATGTTTTTACTTACGCAGACTTGAAATGTATTCAAAGAACGTAACAATAAATGTCTAAAGCAATAGGCTACACTGACTGAACATCTTTATATTTGCTTTGGCCCTAGGTATAAGTATAAAACAACTTATTATTTTTTTTTCTTTCTTTATCAAAGAATCCAAATTTAAAACAATATAGACTAAAATCAAACTAATTTCATGATTTAAAATGTTCAATTCAGAATGGGGAGGGAAAAGTCAATATCCTACTAACAAAACAAAATAAAAACAATACCTTTCCCATGTGGATTATGATTGCTTGAGGGGTCTTCATTCTTAGCTTCAGCATTCTCAACTACTTTTGGAACATTCTTAGGTACTTCATGATCATTTGTACCCAGTTCATTTCCATTATTTGACTGACTCTTGTGGGTCTCTTGCTGTTAGATAAAGAGTTCAAAATAGTAAACCACTGACATAATTATTAAATGTTCTGATACAGTTCATCTTTTAAAATACATACCATGGGTTCAAATTCTAACCACCTGGACTTATGGGTTATAATAGCACTTTCTATTCAGTTTTTATACCTGATACTAAAGTTAACCAAAAAACCCCAAAACTAAACACTTTTTAAGGCCTCTAATTACAGCAACCTTGTAGTTTAATAGTCTAGTGCTCCACACCAGAGCTCCATTAGACAGATACAAGTCAAAAAAACAGTGAAATATCATCTCACCAAAGCAATAGTATGCAATGATTAGAGGACCAGAAAATAAATGCTGGCAAGGGTGTGTGGAGAATGGAACCTTCATACACTAGTGGTAGGACTGTATAATATGGTGTAATCTCTATAGAAAATGGTATGATACTTCCTTAAAAGTTGGAAACAGAAATACCATATTATCTAATAATTCCACTACTAAACATATATCCTAGAGAAATAAAAGTTGCAACACAAATAGATACATGCACACCCATGTTCATCACAGTATTACTCACAATAGCAAAAAGATGGAAACAGCTTAAATACCCATCCACAGATGACTGGATAAACAAACTATGGTACATATATAAATAAGACTCAATGGCACCTAACAACAACAACAAATGATACATATATACAGTGGAATGTATAATGCAATGTTAAAGAATAATGATGAATCAAGTTCACAACGTGAATGAACCTGGAGGAAACTGTTGACTGAAAATCATAAATAGAACAGATTTACTGGTCTGATAGAGATGGATGGAACCCCATGTCTGTGGCCCTTAAACACTTTTTAAACTTGAGCTGCACCCTCCCCAAGAATCACCATTCAGCCGAACAACAGACAGATCTATAAAGCAAACAGTAACACTTGTAAGGAACGTACTCCTCAGAACAATAAACCATATGAGACCAAAAGGCAGCATTTGCCCTAAAACGAAGGTCAGCAGGCAGGAGGGAACAGGAGGCAAATGGGAATGGGGAAGCCAGGGAAGAGAGCTGTGACCTTAAGGGCACTACAACTAATGTAATGACACAAGATGTGTATAAACTGCTGAGTGGGAAACTAATTTCTCCTGTATACTTTCATCCAAACCACAATAAAATGTTATAAGAAAAAAAAAAGAATTTGTCACAATAAAGGAAAAGAAAGGGCACTTTGACAATAAGGTGTCAGTATTGCAGCATACTTATGGACAAAATCAGCAACAAACATTTGTACCATGCTTCACAGTTTAAAATTGCTTTCACATCTACCCTGTAGTAGAGATAAATTCATAGTTTTTGGGAAAATAAAACTGAAAAACTAAATAACTTGCTGTTGTTGTTATTAAGTGCCACCAAGTCAGTTCTGACCCATAGTGACCCTGTATAGGGTTTCCAAGGAGTGACTGGTGAGCTTGAACACCGACCTTGTGGTTCAAACCAACTTTGCAGTCCAGCGCGTAAGCCCACAGTGCCACACCAAGACTCCTCTATGGTAAAAAGTTAGAGAACTGTGGAGAAGAAATTCAAACCATGATCATTCTGCTCTAAATCTCATGTCTCATACTTTTAATCATGTTATAGTGCCTCACTATGCATTTTCTGTGAACTTGGTAGGCTAGAACCAAATTTTGAGAGCATAATCATTGATGAGCAAAATGATAAACTGAGATTTTTGAGAATGTTAATACGAAAGCCCACTATGAGAAAATCCATGTGATAATACAACCTGAGTGACCAACCAATATCACTGTAATACAATATCAAAAGGCTACTTCTAAACTAGAGGAATTGCTGGTGGTATAATAGTTCAGACCTACCAGTGGAGCCACAGAAAAGACTGGCAACCTGTTCTCATAAAGATTTCAGTCTAGGAAACCCTATAGGGCAGTTCTATTATTTCCAATAGGGTCACTGTAAGTTAGAATAGACTATATGGCACATAACAACAACATTTCTCACTATTTTACAGATGTGGCTAAAATAAAAAATATTGAACAAAAATTATAAGTCAATAAGCTACTATTAAAAATACTTCATTTAAATCCATTAACAAAAATGTCCCTTTGATACATTATTAATAATAGTACCTTTATGTGAATAAAAAATATTATATATCTTTAATAGTATAAGATGGCTTTCTATACGAAATATTGGTAATTTGGTGAGGGGGATTTCTAAATTTTTCAAACAAACATTTTATTCTGAAACAAATTTAGATTTACAGAAAAGTTGAAATAGTTTCCTTATATTCCTAATTCCATTTTATCTAATGCTAATATCTTATCATGATACATTTGTAAAAAAAAAAAAAAAATCAGCAGTAGTACATTTTTATTAACTAAACTTTAGGCTTCATTTAGATTTCACCAGCATTTCCACCAAGTCCTTTTTCAGTTCCATGATCAATCTACAATTAAATACTTAATTTTTAAGTTCTCAGGTCTCCTTAATTGATTATCCTCTGGCATGTGACACTTTCTCTACTTTTGTAAGGTGAAAGTAGTAAACAAATAAGCCTGGGGCTATGTTCCAATAACATTAAAAACACTAAACACTAAAATGTGGGTTTCTGATAATTTTTGTACATCACAAGGTACTATCACACTGTTTAATTTTTTTAACCATTTGAAAAACAAAACAAAATATTCTTAGTTCATGGACAACACAAAAATAGGTGATGAGCTGGATTTGGCCTGTGGGCTGTAGTTGCCTACCTCTCCTCCAGGGTAATTACCAAGACAGAACATGTGCTTGGTTAAAAAAAATAACAACCACCACCTTAATACAACTTATGCTTGTTTTATATAGTTAACATTTCATAGGGCTTGTTCCTATGAAAAAACAATTTGGATTTCACAGAATCAACTTGTTATAGCAGCTGAAGAACAAGGTGAAGGGGTTGTTGTTCAGTGCCATTGAGTAGGTCCGACTTATAGCAATCCTGTATAGGGTTTCCAAATAGCAACTGGTGAGCTTGAACTGCCAACTTTGCGGTTCAAACTGACCTTGCAGTCCAGGGCATTAACCTGCAGTACCATAATCAATTTGTTATAGCAGCTAAGAAAAGGGTGGAGGGTAGGGAGTAGAACGAGGCACCTCCACCCTAGCCTGCTTCCATGAGTGTTGATAGTTGATCCAAGAAAATGAAGTCATTGACAACTTCAATCTTTTTTTTTTTCATTTATATGGATGTTATTTATTGGTCCAGTGACGAGGAGTTATTTTTTCTTTACACTGAAGTGCAACCCATATCAAAGGCTGTGGTCTTTGTTCTTCATCAATAAGTATTTGAAGTCCTCTTGGCTTTCAGCAAGTAAGGTTGTATCATCTGTATATAGCAGGTTGTTAATAAGTCTTCCTACAATCCTGATGCCATGTTTTTCTTCATATAATTCAGTTTCTCTGATTATTTGTTCAGCATACAGACTGAATGAGTATAATGAAAGCAAACAACCCTGGCACACACCTGGAAGCAGCAGTCAAGAAATCAAATACGTATTGCACTGGGCAAATCTTGTATACAAGACCTCTCTAAAGTGTTGAAGAGTAAAGATGGCAGTTTGAGGATTAAGGTGCACCTGACGCAAGCCATGGTATGTTCAATAACCTCATATGCATGTGAAAGCTGGACAATGAATAAGAAGACTGTTGAAGAATTGATGCATATGAGTTATGGTGTTGGAGGAGAAAATTGGAGAAGTACCATGGACTGCCAATAAAGCAAATAGATCTGTGCTGGAAGAAGTACAGCCAGAAAGCTCTTTGGAGGCCAAGATGGCCAAACTTCGTCTCTCATACTTTGGACATATTGTCAGGAGGGACCAGTCACTGGAGAAG